TCCCACATATCTGGGGGATTTAATGTGATACACTAAAGGAAGAATTCACAGAATTGCTTTTGACAAAAAAAGGTAGTTAAAAGCCAGGATATGAATTTGTGTTCATGCCTCTGTCACCTGCTCTCTATAGACTCAATTTGTGGTCCATTTTTCCTAGGAAATTACTTAAATTTTGTTTGCAGTTCCCCAGAAAATATTGAGTTAAAATTGTTTTCCTGGATTCTCATTTGGGGAATGTTCACACCATGAAAGTCCATAAAATGACCAGGTGCATGGAATGGAGGAAAACTGCATGAAGCAGCTCAGCTCTGCAGAATTAATTCCCTGCTGAATCTCCATGTGTCTCATTCAGTGAAGGTTTTATGTCTCATGTTTGACTAATTCATGCATTCTGCTAGCTAAAGGAGATCCACAACATGCTGGAAGCTGACTTGTGAAGAGAAAGACGAGTCAGAAAAGATTTTAATTGTATTGTTGCTTGGGTCTTAACTAGAGGAAAAAACTTTACTGCTGTCTGGTTTGAAGTGGCTGCGATGGACAGGTGACCTGCCCAAGGTGGACCCACCTCTGGTCCATAGATAGCTGGAGATAGGCAGCAGCACCCCTCGCCAACCCACCTGGGATAAAGTGTGACGGAAAATGGATGGATGGTGGGAAGTGGATGGAGACCAATGTAGAAAGTGGGTTTTGGTCTGGTTCTTAGATTCTATTCACATCTGCTCAAAAGGAGAAAGAAGGCAGAAAACCAACCAGTCTGTTTAAGGTAAACCCGTCATGGAAACCTTAGATTTAGATCTGGGGTCTAGTTTACAAAACATTTGCCTGAACTTGCCAACTTACAGGCTCTCTCTCTCTTTTTTTTTTTTAGTAAACTACAGCTGCTGACCTTTTAAAATCAACATCTAATTGAGTCTCTGCCTGAAGCCACTTTTAGGAACTGAATAATTCTGTGAATTTATTGAAAAATCAGAGAAATCCCAATCAGCTGCCTGGATGTATGTTAATCTGAACAGTCGGATCATCGGACCGAAGGTGTCATTGATAACTTCCCTTTAGCTGCTGTATTAAGCAAACATTCCACCTATAGGATGCCATTAGTAAAGTTAAACGGGTAGCAGTCACTTTGCTTCCTATTTAGGATGTTGCTGGTGATACAAAAGGGGTTGATCTTTTTAAATTCATTTGCTGTAATTCTCAGTTTTCCACCACTCCATCCATTCTTATGAAGCCAAAAAATGGTGTTTGCTGTCTTCTTCTGAACGGTTGCTGCCAGATTTGTGTGTTGCACATCCTAGAGTTTTCCTTTTGACTGATTCTTCCACTGCAGCTGTGGATCTCTGCACTTCTCTCAAGTTACCAAGAACCTTTTGGCTCCTTATTTGACTAATTTTCTGAATGTCGTGTCATAAATGTCTCCTGTTCAGTTTCCCAGCAAACCTGTAATCTGCGTTCTTTCTGTTTGAAGGTGTGCATCAGCCTGCAGAGGTATGTGTTCCTCCTCAACCCGTTTACTGCCCGTCGGTGGAGGCGGCGCTACGACCTGCTGATCAGTATAGCTGTGTGGGTGATTGTCAGTATCTCTTGCTCACCTTTCATCTTGATGCGGAGCAGCGGAAGCAGCAACAACAACACGCCCAGCAACCCTCTAAATGCAAACTTCACCCACCTTTCAAGCTCCACAAACCTCTACATGCAACCATCATTCACACCTTCCAGCATGTCACACCCCGATTCAGTAACCCACAAAACAAGCTGTTTTAAAGACCTGCCGATACGGAAGATCTCCATCCCTCTGGCTATAACCATGATGACAATGTGTGAACTGTTTGGATTCCTTATGCCCTTAATCTGCATCAGTTACTGTTCCTGCCGCATAGCTTGGTCCCTCAACCACAGGAAAACAGAGGATCAGCAGAACTCCACGGCTCCAAGCTCCTCCACTCGTAGCAGACTGCAGTCAATCACCTCCAACGGTCAGGGAGATAAGAACCATGAAAAGCATGTGAACAGTGAGAAGCGGCGAGCTCTGAGGATGGTCCTGAGCTGCTCTGCTCTCTTTCTGCTCTGCTTCACCCCGTATCACATCAACTTCCTGCTCTATCTGATGGTTTCGCAGGACTTTGTCTTCCACTGTGCCACCAGGCTGGCGGTCAAACAGTTTCACCCAGTGTCTCTGTGCATGGCAAGCATGAGCTGCTGCCTCAATCCGCTCCTTTATTACTTCCTTAATGCTGAATTCAGAATGCACCTCAGGCGCACCTCCTCTTTCTCCTCCTCTTTTGTCTCTTCTCCAATCAGCTCTCCAAAACATTGTGCTGCACAAGCCAGACTACTGAGGATGGAGAGTTCCTGTTCAGAGCGGGAATAGAGCAGGTCTGGGTCAGACGCCGCAGGCATTATAAAAGGATTTTAACTGGAGTTTATTCACATATAATTTTTTTAGTCTGCAGTCAAAAACTTAACAGTCTTTTACCAATATTTTGAGAAAAACAAGCAAAATATTCATATATTGCTTTTTAAATTGAGCCACAAAGGTCTGAAAAGAGTTTTGTATTAATTTTTTATAAACTCTCCTTAAATGACTTCCTTTAAAAGCACCTTTGGTCCCCTGGGGTCCTAGTGTTGATGAGATCACTGAGGTAGACAGAGGTCAAAGTTGATCATGAAATGTAAGCTTCCCATTTAACAAATAGGTGGAAAATTTATTAACTGCCATAATACATGATTCAAAGTTCCCCATTTAATAATTAGAAATACATTGAAATGATGAATCAGTTAAAGTCCTTTAAGAGAATATATGTATTTAGTTATGAATATAGTTACCTCCCTGCGATGGACTGGCAATCTGTCCCGGGTGGAACCTCCCCCGTACACAGCTGGAGATAGAATGGTACAGATCTAGGTATTTTCTGATCACCACGGTTGCTGTGTCCCCTGGAACAGTGGGCCCTCACCATGGTCCTCAGGTACCATAGTCCTGCATGTACAAGTTTCCCACAGACACATCTGCACTTCATGGTTTTCTGGCAAAAGTGGAATTAAACTTTTCTTCAATGAAAACTTAATTTATGAGACTAAAACTAACTAATAGTGATTTGGGTAACACTTTGAACTGAGCTGTAGATCTCTGCAGCTCCTCCTAGGCTGCCATAGGCCCCATGGATCATTTCATGATCAATGGTCTTTTTTTCAGTCCTTAGGAGGAAAGTTGTGCCTTAATAAGCGGGTCGTTTTGCAAAGCTCTTCTGTTTTTAGATCTCCAAGGCTGTAGAAATCCCTTTGCTACACAAACCAGCTTTGAACTCCTAAACATCTCTTTGTTTGTTCTCCAACATTCTCTAACAAACCTCTGAGGCACTGACAGATTAGACCAGAGTTTACCCAGGGAAAGAACATGATCCTGGAAACCAAAGCTGTCCAAATTTCTATGTGAAAATCTCTGAAAAATTATCGTTTCAATTCAGTTTATGTCTATAGCTCCAATTCACATCATGTCATCTCAGGTCATTTTATTGAGACAATTCAACAGGATCATCCAGTCAGATTGATTCAAAGTTTTCTATCTAAGAAAAAACATGCTTGTAGCGACAGTGGAGAGGAAAAACTCCCTTTGAACAGGAAGAAACCTCCAGCAGAACCAGGCTCAGTGTGAGCGGCCATCTGCTGAGGCCTACTGGGGTTCAAGGAGACAGAAGCAGACATAGAAAAAGAAGCATAGATACAAAAGGCAACTGTCAACCAGCTCCACAGGCGGCCCCGTCCAGGAAACACACAGCCAGGCAGACGAGCTCCGAGCCAGCTCCCATGTCAGAGGATGAAGAGAGCACATCCAGTTAGTCACAGTCAGAGAAACAGGACTACACTGGAAAACAGGCCAAGCTCCAACATCTAGAAACAAAGGTGTTGATGGCAGCAGCACAGCTGATATTTCTCTCCAGGATGGAGTCACAGCCAAACAGGAACAGACCAGATGAAGCTACTATGAGAAAAAGCAGAGAGAGCAGAACGTTATTTAAATAATGTTAATTTCTCTTCCACATAAATATTTACTACTAAAACCAATCAATACATTGGTGGTTAAAAGGTGACATATTGTGAAAAATTTCTTAAGATATAAATAAAATGTCCTGTAGTCTTCATTCAGGTATTACTTTATCTATCTTATCCAAAGCGGGCGACACAGTGGGAGCGAGGCAGACTTTCCACCTGATAGTTTAAATGAACGATAAAAAAATTTAAGGTTCATATTGAAAAATATATATTTTTTTTATCTTCCTGCTCTGACAAACTTTCACCAGAAGAGAGGAGGAATTGCAGTGATGACCACATGTTTCCTCCTCGTCCTCAAATGTGACGCGATTCTCATTCGGCCTTTCAGTCCACGATGCTGAACTTCAGCACACTGCTAACATTTCAAATAAGCTATTTTAAGAGAAACTACTTGTCTGTCTATTGTACCTTACTGTAAATAAAAGTGATGCTTTCATATTGTTTTGCTTTTTGATCAGCACAAAATAATATATATATATATATATATATATGAAAATGTTATTTTTTCCTCTGCTCTACTGTCCCCTTAGGAGTGTGTCTGTATTTGACAGTTGCTGTAGGCGATAACCTCTAGGGTAGAGCAGCTAAACCCCCTCCTTCTCTGCTCGGATGCATCTGCTAAATACCAAACCACCTCTGACATCAAACAAGGATCAACCCACCAAACAGCCTCTTACCTCTTATCTTCCTGCTGTGACACAGAAACACTTCTGCTTGTCTTTTACATAAAGCAACACTTGCTAACATAATCTGAAGCTAATGTGATTTTAATGAGTTTTTTTTATCTGTTGTGATCCAGCAAAGGGAGTCAGAGATGCTGGGTGATCATGAACACCAAAAAAAAGACCACGTTGGAAATATAATAGTTATGATGCAAAAAAAAAAAAAAGGAAGCCACACCCCTCCTCACACAGGAAGCCCTGTATGTGCTAAAATCCCCATTTCATAGTGGGGGCAGATAGAGACAGGCAGCCGATGCATGGCCACAATGTGATGAGAAGAAGACAGGATATCATCTTTTAAAAATAAGATAAAGTGTTAGAAACAGCAGGCAAAGTTATTATGCTGGAGGAATAATTGAGAAGAGAGAGTGCCGCCTGAAGCTTCATCCTTCTGCTTTTTGAGGCTTAGACAACGTGAAGTTTCAACAAAGAGGTGAGACCTAAAGCTAAATGTTCACTTTTCTTAATGAATAATGTTTTGTGAGAAACAGCTGGATGTTTTAAGAGTGGAGTCATGTCTCATGGGGGATCTCGTTCGTTACTCCAAAATGAGGAATGCCTGTTATGTTTTAGAACAAGGCATTCGGTTTCACTTTGTATCCAAATTAAGAGTTTTATCTGAGTTACTTCTGTTTGATCTATTAAAAAATCCCACATGGAGGGACCTGGGTTCCTGCATAATGATCATGACTTAATGGAAGAGGTGTAACCCCATAGCCGCCCACAGAGAGGTGAATCACAGTTGGTGATGTTTCCATTGAAAGGCTCTCAGGGTTAAAACTTTTCAGGTTAAATGTGGTTCTCTGATAACAATCCTGCACATGAAACTCTTCAAAAGGACATAAAGTATGTTGCTATTATTCCTGTTACCCTTCATTTATCTGCAGAGGGTTTACATTTTCACATTCATACCCCAAAGAGGAAATGAAAGCTAGTTGAATAACTGCCTGAAGACGATATACAGTCTATAATTTTGTCAAACCTAGAAAGGAGAGCAGACAGTCCATTAAATAAAATGAACGGTCAGTAGAAATAAAATGATTCTCCTCACTTAAAGTCCACTGGAAGCTGTCGTTGAGGGCTTTGTCTGAACGGAGCAGAAAAGGGTCCTAAAGAAATCAGAAACCCTCAGTTTATGCTTACATTTTAAAATCCATATATGATGTTAACATTTCCTTTTTCTAATACATTCAGCCTTTTAGCTAATTTTAATAATTTCAATGCCCAAAATCACAGAGACCAACAGAACAAGCAAAACGAAGCGTAAAGTGATGAACAACAATGGTGTCATTTTAACAACAGAGACCTTGGAAATCCGCTTTAATTCAAGCCGTTGGTATTTTTAAGCAAAAGTTTGTAGGCTGTCTTGCTCATTCACGCCTTTTCCTTCTCCAGCCATCTTTTTTTATGCACATTGCAGATCAAAGCATGTTCATCTCTGAGACCAAAAACATGTGAATGTGGCACCTTCACCCATTTACAAATTGCATCCAAATTTATCTCAAACTATATGCTTTATATCAGAGTCTACAATTTTTCGACCTTCTCCTTATTTTACAGAAAGTGGCCAAAGGTCTAACCCCATGGCTTTTAAATCTAGTCTGAATGATAAGCTAAAGAATCTGACCAGCAGGCCTTAAAACTCTGGCAGTAAAATGTTGGAGGGCAAAGTGTTCTTACTGTCTTCTTACTATCAACCACATGAAGGGAGAAGGAACAGGAGCTAGAGGCTACAGGTTGGTGCATTCGGATCAGGACAGAGTGTTTCAGGTTTTCCTTTAAATCACCTATAGGTGAATCTAAAATCAGTGCAACTTTTTGTAAAAAAAAAAAAAACAACAACTATGAAAAGCTACTAAAGACATGACATCAACATTTGGGCATTTCCAAACTGTTTTCTAGGATTTATGGTCCTTAAGTATGTAAAATAGTGAATAGAAAGAAAGAAAGAAATCATTTTCATAAACAATCTGTCTCTCATTGTTTTGGTATTTAGCAACTAAGATCTAAAATTCATAACTGACTGTGAGGGGGAAAAGTATCTGTGTTTATGGGTGTATGTAAACTTCTGGACTCAACTGTATTTGGCAAAAGATCAGCAGTTTTGAACCTCATCAGGCATCTTACCAACAGCTGCCACCCCAACCAAAAACAGGAAACTAAGATGCTTTTTGAATTTCTAGATGGTAACAACTAGATTTAAGCTCCAGCCTCTATCTCACACTTTCTACCCTAAAAAACTGTCCAAATTTCTAAGTAGCAGAGGTTTGTTTATTATCTTGGCTCCTCCCCCTCAAACTTGTTCAGTTAACTCTTAAAAGAGGCCAACTCCAAGCATGGAAACTTCCACGCCAACCTTTCGAACTTTATCTCAAGTATTCTGGAAAGCAGCCGCAGTAAAACAGACAGTGGGTGAATAAACCAACAGCTACTTTCAGGGATGTTTCCCACTTACAGTATAATCTGCTGCTTTCCCCTGCAGAGTCAATAAAGACTATTTTATCAACGATACAATGTTTTTACTCCAGTCATTATTATTGCTATTCATAGAAGTAATAATAGGAGTTATTATAGCAGTAATAGTAGAGGCTCTATGGCTAGCAATGGTTTTCTAAATTGCACAATGTCTAAAAAATGTATTTTAATCTGTAGCCTATTTCTTTGTGCATCTGTTAGAAAATTCATCAGCAGTAGCAAATTTTCAGGTTGATAGAGGTGTAAAGCAAAAGTCACAGCTTATCAGTGGCCCAAAGGCCTCAGGTCACCTGCAGTCTCCAGCAAACTATACATACAAAGAAGCATCTTATACCCAGCTAATCTGCAGAAATCTTTCAGAAAACTATTTATAACATTTATAAATCATTCCTTTAAAGTGCCTTTTGGCTGTGATATCTACACATAATCAGTATAGGTTTGTAGACCAAATATCCTTCATATAGTTAATAATTTTATTCTTTCACGTAGTTATCTGTTTCTAATAATTCGTTTTATTCTCTATAATTTTTCATGTTCAGTAATTATTTCAAGGAGGTACCTATGAGAATTTGCGCACTTGGGCCTTGGTTTCGTACCGTTTGCCCACCGGTTGCCAGATCTGCTATAATGTGAACGTTTTGTTAACATCAGTAAACATTTACTGTTCCTGTCCAGAAGGAAAGCAGAGATCTCTTGGTGGCTTCTAATTCTAATTCTTCTAATTGCTTCCATAAGTTTGCACCAAGTTTCTCCCACTTTTGATTCTTTTTTTTCTAATTGGGACAAATATGAGAAATGTAACAGAGAAGAAGCCATTTTCCAACTCTATCGCAGAGCTACTGGCTTCAGCTCATATGACTTTAACCTACTGTTCCCTTTGTGTCGACATTAGCAGCTTAACTAGAAGTAATTATATATATATTTCAGACCTTTCAAAATTTTGGAACAATTTCTAATACAAGGCCTGCGACAGATCGCCTCATCTTAGCTGTTGTTAACAAGTAGAGAAGCTTTTTAAATCAGATAGAGACTAACCCATGCCATGCAGACCCTAACCGATGCAGAGTTAGATAGCAGCCAAGAAATAGTCCTAATTCAATGTCTGAAACAGCGCCGGGATGGTTTCAAATTGTGGAAATAGTCTAACAAAACACATGCATAGTTTTACCAGCTTAAAAACATTTGAATAACATCCAACCTGTACAGTAAAGTACAGTACTACTTCTTCTGTGGTGCGTTCCTGGTCATCAGCTACGGATGGTGATGGAATCAATTGTTTTGATAAAGGAGTTTTAGCTATGACCTTTGTGTGACCTCTATGTTACTGTAATGTATTTTTCTTTGAGGATGGGTGGAAGCATGTGGGACTCTCACCCAAAAATGGTCCAGTCCTCCTGCAGCAGTCCTTCCCACCTGCAGGCAGAGGAGCTGATATTCCAAACTGAAAATCTGTTTTTATATCCAATTCCCATATATATATATATATATATATATATATATATATATATATATATTCTTTTTTTTAAGTTTGCTAACAGAGCAGTAGCCAACAGTGATGAAAAGGTAGATTCTCATCAAACTGATCTAGATCCTCTTTTAATGATTGGTTTACATAATTAGCATAAACATATTCCTTCTTTTGCTTTCGGGTATCTGCTTCTGTCTCCTTGAACCCCAGTGGGCCTCAGCAGATGGCCGCTCACACTGA